TTTTGGAAGCATGCTGTCTTCATGAAGCCTGCCTGCGAATCACGCGTCATCGCGGCGGTGCGGAGATGCTGTAGGTCCATGTAAATTGTCGGTGGCATGTCATGTCCGACATGACAAGCCTGCCAGCCAAGGTTGAATGTGAAAAGACTCCCAATTCGGCGGCTGAGCGATTTGCAAAGCCACACAAGTGCCACGATCTCTCTTGGTTCTAGTAGATTCTAGTGTGCTTCGCAGGAGAGAAGCATCTGGAATCTAGACTTCATATTCTCAGACTTGGCACGCTGCGTAGATACTTGGACCAATTTCAGGGAGGGGCTAGCAGCCTCATCACGACTGACTTACAGCAAGTTGTCACAAGGCTTTTATCGTGTTCAAAAGCAGGCTTTCTCGCAGCAGGTGGCACAAGTCTTGAGCTTTGCATGCAGGGCCTCTTTCATTTGTCGGCCTTGCTTGCTAATTGTACTTTGTTTTCATTGCTTTGATGCTCAGTCTACAGGTTCAGCCGCCCATACAGTGCTTGTGCACTACACTACAGCTGAGCCCTTCTGGGCACACATGATTCAAGCGGCAACTGGTTGGCTGGCGAATCCGTAGCATCCTGAGTCATCTCTCAGACGATCTGCCTCATGCTTTCATACGTCCAGATGCAGCACACCCATTTTGTACACTGCCTCTCTGGTGCAGCTCTGGAGAACCTTCGTGTGCACTGCTTCGGTGCACGGATTTGTGTGGCGCTTGAACAAACACTCAGTCCCGCCGCTGCCGAGCGATGTTTGCTGTCAGGGGATATGGTGCAGGGGCTGCAGAGATCAGTGCGTGACACCTGGCGACAGGCGAAGAACTCCTTCGTGGCCAGGGCTCGGGCCAAAGAAGAGTGTCGGCTTTTTGTTTCCTTCCGCCAACCACGCCAAAGGCATGCCTGTCTCGGAAAAAAGCAAGCTGGGGAAAAATATGCTGCACCAAGTCTGCTCGCGGTTGCAGTGAGCTGTGCAGATCCCAGCAGAAGGCACGGCCCAGAAGTCGTTACGGCGGTCATTTGCCTCAGGAGCTGCTGGTTTTCATTCAGAGCTGGCAGCTTTCTCCCGTCACGTCTGGGCCCCCGACATTCTTGCTGTGGGCGTGTCCTCCCGATCAGAAAATCCACCAAGGGCGCAGGCTGTGAAGTCTTTGCCGGCGAATTTGCAAAGGCAGGTGCTGTCTGGGCATACTCCTCAGGCCCAGATGTGAATGTACCTGAACATTTGAGCATTCGCTGTGAAATGCCACTTGCGGCCCAGGTTCAGCCCCAAGAAAGGTACCCGCAACGTGGAGGCGCTGCTTCACGGCTATATCAAAAGCATCAGTGTGTCCCAGGCTCAGTCTGCCTGAGAGAATCTCCTTCTCTAACTTTTCCTGGCTGAGGACCGGAGGCCCCGAGGTGAAGGACGAGAGCGCCTTTCTGTTATGCATGCCTTTCCGATGCAGACTGCGATGCAGCAGGAGCCACGAGCCCCCAAGGAAGTCGCAAAGGCCAAGGCTGGGCGCTCGGCGCTCTCGCAGACGAGAAGATGCTTCTGCTTGGATTTGGCATGAAAATCGAGAAGATTCGTTCGGCCAGAATTTCGTTAGGCCAAAGGAGATGTAGTCTTTGCGTGCACGCAAGCTTGCGGCCGTCCTGCACCGTGTGCACCATCGATCTAGCAGCGCCCCTTGACATCTGAGGCAGCGAAAAAGGAAGCGCCGAAACAAGCGCAGCCGTTCGGCAGAAGCATGGGCAACCCTGCTTTGGGTGATTTTGTCACAGGCAAAACAGCTTGTCTCTGACTAGGAGCCGATGCCGAGACTCCATCAGTCCGTTTTTTGTTGTTGCTGCAGCTGCTGTGCGTGGCTGCCGCGATCCGAGCATTTCATTGCTGCCGTGCCTGCTGCAGACGGACTGCTTCTTCCTGTTGGTGTTGCTTGCTGCTGCTGCTGCTGCTGCTGCTGCTGCCGCTGCCGCTTCCGCTGCCGCCGTTGCTGCCGCTGTTGCTGTTGCTGTTGCTGGTGATGTTGCTTCTGCTGTTGTTGCTGTTGCTGCGGTTGCTGCTGCTGCTGTTGTTTTTCTTGGTGGAGGTGGGGAGTTGCTGGTTGGTGGTTGGTGGTTGGTGGTTGGGTGCCGGTCATGGGTTGTTGTCTGTTGTGTGTTGTTTGTTGGTTGTGGGTTGTTGGTTGTTCTGTGTTGTTTGTTGTCTGTTGTTTGTTGGTTGTGGGCTGTTGGTTGTTGTGTGTTGTCTGCTGTCTATTGTTTGTTGGTTGTGGGTTGTTTTCTGCTGTGTGTTGTTTGTTGTCTGTTGTCTGTTGGTTGTTGGTTGTTGGTTGTGGTTGTTGTTGTTGGAACAGACTCCTGAGGCCCGAGCCAAAAGACAAGCGCAAGGCCGCGGGCAAGTCGTCCGACAGATGAGATTGACAGATCCTTCTTTTGCCGTCGCTTTCAAATCGGTCCTGTGAGTGTTTCGACGATGCAAGCAACATGCCCTCCCGGGTAGCTTCGGCTCTGTCCTTTCAGGAAGCGTCTACACCAGGCGCTCCGGGACTTTCCCTGCTGGAAGTGCGTGAGTTAAGCGACCGAGGGCGTAGTCGGCACAGTTCCAATCCAGGTGTGGCACCTCCACTTGCCCAGCAGAGGCGCCACACCATGGCATTGCATGGCTTATGTGCCTGGATGATGCGCGTAAGCCGAGAAGAGCACCAAACGCTAAGTGGGATGCCCGCCGTGTCTTCGACGTGGAAAGCGGGAGCAAAACACGCGTTGTCGTCTCCGACCCTGCTACAACCGAGAGCTGTCTGAGTCCAAAGCTGATATCTGAGCAGGCCTTCGCCGGGCACGAAATCGAAGCTGCAACTGCCCCAAGCTCTCCAATAGGAGCAGGGTCGAGATTTACTAGGGTTGATCTCTTCAGTTGATGGCTCGGTTATTTTCGTGATGTCAACCGAGGTTGGGCACCGGCTTTGCTGTGCGCTGGCCTCGATACTCGTCTCAGCATCGAAGATTGCGATCTAATTGGCCAGTGACGGTCTCCACGGTGCCACGTTAGTATCGCGACGCAGCGCGTGAGTTGTGTTTCAAGGCTTAACGAGTCCAGCTCAGAGCCCGACGAAGAGGACGATTTCACTCCGTCAGCATGGGAGAGTTGCCAGGAGGGAGAACACGCGAAGGGTCCGATGGTTTCATGCCATGTCATTACCATTTGCTCGTTGCGATTTGTTGGGACGCCATGGATTCGGAGATCAGCAGTCTAGATTGTTCTAGATTCTAGATGAGCAGGGTGTGTTTCTTGGTCTATTGCACGCTTTGGCTCAACAAGGGTTGTGACACGTCCCTCCCAGCCGTGCGTGTCGTAGGTGTCTGCCTTGGACTCGGCAGCAGCTACTTCCTGTTTACGGGGCAGAGAGACAAATATGCACTGCTACGATTTGTCTTTTGTGTTGTAGACTTTGCAGGTGTGCCGATGCTCAGTGACACATGGCTCAAGTAGCTGCTGATAGAGCCTGTCCGCACATCAACCTGTTGCAGACATGCCGAAGAAGCCGCTTGCTTGGATGCAGTTCATGAGTAATGCCCATGCATGCGCGTGGGTCTTGCAATCCCAGTCCACATTGGCAATAAGAGTGCAGGAATTGGTGACAGGAAAGTACCGTATATGCCAACTACACCTTCTTCCACAAATGCCATTGACAACTTCAGTCTCAGGCCGACGAGCGAAGAGAAGTACCAGAACTTCAGCGACAGCAGCATGCGGGACCCCTGTGCTATTCCCAGAATCCCAGCTCTGCCCCTCGCGCTTTCTTTGTGTCTTTCTGTGCAACTTGCCTTGCTTCGGGTGCCAGGACCGCGTGGCTGCAGCGCGCTCGCACGAATACCAGCCACCACCTCTCAGCCCAGAGGAGGATCCATCGCAGCATCCGTCTGGATTTACATCGAGCGGATGGGACAAGTATTACTTCTTCAGCGATCCAGCCAACTGTTCCGGACCTGGCAAGGGCTCCCTGGTTCTCATTTGGCAGTGTTGTTTTTGTTTCTGCGAGCGTGCTGATTCCTTTTTCTGTTGCGACAGGTGGCCTGCATCCAACAGCACGGCTGGGGCGCAATCGTCCAGCGATGAATGGGCCACAGACCTTCACGATCGAGGCTTTCAGCCCAGAAGAGCTGGCTTTTGCGCGGAAGAAGATTGAAAAGAAGGGTGCGCGCACCTCCTACACGGAGGCGTTTAGCCAGTTTCCCAGAAATTCCACAGCAATACTCGGGCCCATCGAGAGGGCCACAGGGCCACACATCATGAAGCATGCCGCCGCTACTGGACAGTCTGTGTCAGACACACTCAGTCAAGCTGGCTTGGGCACCTTAAACCGCTCCCTGACGGCGCCAGAGCTCATGGCAGGGCCTTTGACGGCTCACCGCATGGGCCCTCACTGGCCCCCTCCCGGCCCGGAAAGACCAGACCCATTGAAGACTCGGCAGCAGCTCATGGTTATGGGCCCCCATCGTACCTTCGTGGAGCTTCACGCCAAGGATCGGAAGGCACCGGGGGAGTACCTCTACACAATCACTCGTACATGAACGTAACTACGTAACACCCCTTTTTCATGAGAGGCCGGGTTGATAGTGTCATGCAAAGCCGCAAAACTGTGGCGCTGCAAGTGTAGCCGGCAATGGAATTGCACGTGCTCCTATTCTTCTTGGTTTCACACCGCAGAGCGAAAACGGGAGAAGGGAAGTGCAAGAGGATGTCACACGAGCTGCATCGAGTGGTCTCCAGCTTTCGCAGCGGCTTCGCCATACAGCTGCCATGGCTTATCCATCGCGCTAGGCTGTCTTTGTCGTTCCCGCGCTTCACCCGCGCCCCATGAAGCTGAGACGAGTTTGCGGAACAGCCCGAAAATGGCACGACTGCCGGAGTTTCTGGACGTCTATAGCCCTCGGACGCTACTGCCTCTTCGGCTTGTGCTCCTTGTCTCTGAGGCGTCCACCTTGTCGCAGAAAGATGTCCTTCAGCTCACAGGCAGGGTAACAGTGTTTTTGGTTCCTGAGACAGGCCATGCCTGGTGTGACACAGTAGTTGAAGGCATCATTGGTGGAAGCAAGAATGAATCTGGTCGTTTAGTTATAGTTGTTGTGCTATACGCGGGGATAATGCGGCTCATGAGCTTCATGTCGCTCTGAACGTGTGCAGAGGAAGTTTCTCCGTAGCAGCAGGCAGATTCGGCTCCGCTGGCTGTTTGAATGCTGTTTTTGCAAGGGGCCTTGACTTCTATTCATCCGACAAACAGGTGGGTACATCTTTCGGAGGAAGAGCCTGAGCCGGCTATATAGTGTGAAGTCAACGTATTGACTAACAGTGACTAACATTGACCTTTTGATTCGTGGACCTGAATCAACATTCAGGGCCGGACATTCGACCAGCAACAAGATCAAAGCTGCCCCTGATGCTGTTTGGCTGGCTTGCCTTGAGCCACGCTGTGATGTCTGCTGCGGAGCTGCGGAACTACTTTCAGTTCACTTCCAAGCTGCTTCCTCAAGGGGCTTTGCTTCGCTTTGGATTCGTTGCGATGGCTGGGCGTGTAGCTAAAGTCAGGTCAACAAGCGGGAACCACCTTTCCTACAAAAGCACCTTGGCTTCCATGCTACAGTAGTTCGTGCTGACAGAGGCCCAAGGTAGTGAAGTGTCTGCGCCAGGCTATGTACAAAACCTTTGTGTCGACATTGTGAAGTCTGATGACGACTGCTCAGTGTCTCCGCCTCAGAGCATCTGGCCTTCAATGTGTCAAAAAGCCTCGCTCGGCTGAGAAGGTCACAGGACTGCTCCCCGCTGACCCATTACGAGTGCTCGGAGCTCTACGTTTCAGACGTGATTGTCAATGCAGCTGCTCTGCATTTACTGTGGCCTTCAGCAATTCCTCGTTCCATGTGCGTGTGCAAGTCAGGTTCTGGAGGTAGAGATGGAGTTTGAAGGTCACGTGACCTGGTGGTCCTTCGTGGAACCTCAGCAGAAAAAGCTCTGTATTTGCAAGCAGGTCCTGGATGGGACAGCTCTGTAAGTTGTAAGTGGAGCCGACATCAACTCTCTAGGAAAGGTAGCTGCTCGTGTCCCAGCCCAGTCTTAGAAAGCCAAAGCCACCGAAGCCCTCAAAGCGGCCCAGGAATGCGGGGAAGGGCCCGCAGGCAGTTGCCCTTGGTGCACAAACTACCGCACTTGTATCGGACCGATGGTCCAGACCGACACGAAGGCCTTGACAGCAGGTGATTGCATCCTCTGGGAGTACAACACTCAGAAAAGCCGGGATGCCTTTGAGATCCTCGTTGCCGTCTTCGATGCTGGGGAAGAGATGGTGGCACATGAGCTGAAACGTGGAAATGTGCAGTTGGATTGGTCCTATGGCCAAGTTCAGATTGCCACGCCTGGCACGTACTTCTTGCGTTTCTTTCTTGGTTCGTACGATGCGACAGGTGGTGGCCTTGTCGGAGCCAGGATGGAAGTGCGTAACGTTCGCTTCTCTGACACTTGCTTGGATGATAACTCTCTGCGGCTTGGACCACTGGCCTCAAGCACCCTCAGCAGCACTGTCAGTTACACGTCGACCTCCCAAACCAGAAGCAGCATCTCCAACACCAGCACCACGTCCAGCACAACATCCAGCACGAACACAAGCACTACCAGCACGACGGTGTCGACCACCACGACTTGGACTCAGACGGTCTCGTGAACGAATTTGTTAAACGCTCTGTGTACGGGCCGTTGCTAAGGGCCAGGTTAGCTCACGACAGCTTTATCCCTGTGCGATCTTGGCATGTGCAAAGGTGTCTACCAGAACTTCCAGCTCAAGCTCCACGACCTCAACGCTCTCAAGCTCTACAAGCGCGACGGCTTCTTTCACATCTCTAACGGTGACAACCACACGCTCATCGACGGACACTGAAGCTAATGAATCGAGCGGAATCGACAGCCAAGCCGCGGCCTGCAACTGCTCCTGCCCAACGGGAGAAGGCGAAGGCAGCGAGACCGACCAAGTCTTCGCATTGCTCCTCACATTCGGAGCCATTCTCGGCATCCTTGTCGGAATAGTCTTCCTTTGCCGGCTTGCTGGCGTCCGCGGCAAGCCCAAGATTCAGCCCTCGCAGGAAGCCGGCAGTGTTGGGCCCGAGATGTATGCCTTGGACAGCCGCGCGGCAGCACATGGCCGCGCGAGGCGCTGCGACAACCTGCAGGTAGGAATCGCCCCGTGAGCTCGTGACTACTTCCTGTGGGCTCTCCAGAGAGACGAGAGGGAGGGGGAACGTGCTTTCGACGCTGAGGGCGACTGTCGGAGACGAAGCCGAGCCTGCCTGACAACGTGCGTGAGCTCTGTGCCGTGCTCCAGGAATACCGCATCCAAACCCCTGAAGAGCGGGGTGCCCAGAGAGAACTCTCGCCCGGACACTTAAACCTAATCCCTAGGCTCGTCTTCTGAAGTTGTTTTTTCACTAAGGCTTGTACTTACGGGAGGCTTGAACCTTGTGATGCTTTTAGATTCTTGTCTCAGGGACAGCTGAAACAGAGAAGCGAGCAAGCCTGAACCCGTTGCTCTTTCGGTAGCCATTTTGGCGCTTAGGAAGCTGGAAACGCTGACGTTAATCTGCAGATGCCAGACCCTGGATGTGAATGTGATTTGTTCCAGTGCCAAGCAAGCCCAGACAGTTTCGGCTTTGGCTCGCCATGGCGGCTTTCTCGGAGAGCGATGCGAGCGATACCTCAGAGGCCGAAGATGGCGATGAAGTGCTGGCCGTTGAGGCTGTTGAGGAGGTGCTGCGGAAGTTCTAGCAGAAAAGCAGCGCAGAGCCCGGACGAGGACTACGAGCTCCTCATGGCTTTGCACAAGTTGTAGGGAGCCGCTGAAGCACTGGCCGCCCGTCCTCGCACCAAGGGCTCCTTCGGCGCAGGCGGTTGCGAGCAAACGAGCAGAGGAGTATCAGCAGCCCAAAGCCGGAGAGTCCTGAAAAGACAGGGGAGGCAGATCCTCTGGAGGTGCAGGAAAGCGCCGGAAGATTACCATCGACTTATCGACTTGCTGTTTTGGATGAATTCTCGGAACCTGAAAGCGTGTGGTGTTGGGAGGTGACCCAGAGCGCTTCTATCACACAAGCTTCCGCAACATGACTCGAGATTGGGGCTTTGAAGAGCCTTTTCCAGGAGTCGGGCTGGGCAGATCAACGGAGCACTGTTCGATCATTTTTGCATGGCCGGTCGCGCAACCTACCCTTTCCAAAGGGCTGGACCCTGGATCAAGGGCTTCTGCTGCACATCTGACCGTTGCAAGTCGCATTTTATTACGTGCACAGCATTGGACATGCTAGGCAAGGAAGGTGATGGCCAGCAACTGCTCGAAAAGCTGGCAGACATGGCCAGGACAGCTTCGAGAGAGTTGATTTGTGACAAAGAAAGAGAGAATGCAGCGTCATGGCGGAAAGAAGCCCTTCCCCTTTGGTCTATAATGTCTGCTGTCAAGCTGCGCATTGCGTGTATGCAAGGCCGCTTAGTGTGCTTCGGAAGCCTTTGGTTGAACACCTGTGTCGGCAACAGAAAGAGGCCGCTCTGGCGCTGGAGCACCCAGCGACCACATGGCAAGCCCTCGCGAAGCAGATGTGCTTGAAGCCGTGGCAGGCCGCAGATGTGAAGGCGCACGTCGGCATCAAGAAGAATCGAAGCAAGCACTGGTCACAGCGAGTGGAGCAAAGCTTGGGCCATGTGTACGCTCGGTGCATGTCGAAGCTGCTTCCAAGCTTGAACCCCGATGATGCAGAGCGGCTGGCCGAGTGGCACGTGATTTTGGAGTGGGAACGCAAGCTCATAATGTCCATATATGACGCCTCCGTCTATTGGAAGGAGCTGGTGGGATTGAGCTTCCAGGCGTTTCAGATGTGCGCCAGTGGTTTTTCGGATTCAGATCTCCCTAGCCTCTGCTTCTTGCATGGGGTTGATGTGGACAGAATGCAACGGCGGCTTCGTGGAAGTGCGGCCCGCGGACGCTATGTCGGCGGCAAGTCCTTGCACTCTGCGGGGAGTGACCCCGGAGTTGTGTGGCCAGAAGCATGGGCGCTATTGCGGACCCCATGTATTCCCAAGCATTACATACCATGCCTTACCGTGTGTGCCACAACGGTGGCGGTCTTTGTAAGGATGATAGCCCAGTTTGGTCATCATGACCCGTCATGCGGTTTATACCTGCGTGTTGATCTCGCCGAGTTTGCTCGCTTGAAAAGAAGTCTCGCCAAGAGCCACCTCGCCTGGAGTGACCGAGTTGCGAGTTGATCTCTGCTCGTTCCGTTGGCGGACCGAGGCTGCGCCACAGGCTCCGGTCCAGTGCAGCGGCGACGGGACCGGGTGGCGAGGCCTCGCAGCTGCTCGGCCTAGAGCTTTGAAGATGTGCCCTCTGGACCCTTTTGGACACGAGATCCGATAGATTCTTTCGATCTAGACGTCCACGCATCGAAGGTGCACAGCGCAGCGAGGGCAACGTGCATCCCACCTGGAAGAGCTAGAAAGAGCGCACCATGTTCTACTGCATCAGCTGATGAACGAGCGCAGGCTAGCGGCTAGGACAAGCATGCCCAATGCAATGTCGCAAGAAGTCCCATGTTGACATTCTTCTTGTTCTGCAGGCTTCGCGAAGAGCTGCAAGGTGGAAGAGGATAGCTTGGAATTTGGAGGGGAATGAACATGTGCAGACATGTCTGGCCATACGGCAAGCATGTGGAATGGTGGCGGCAGCGTGAAGTCCGGCTCCCATATGACGAGCATTCCTGGAGACTGTGCCAGTGCAGTGCTGACGAGTCGATTGCTGGGAGACCCCCAAGACTTACATGTATCTGGATGTTGGAAGCCCGCCAATCGGACGGAGCAATCACACGACAACTTCGTCAAGGAGCCCAGCTGCATCAGCCGAGGTTTGCCACAGAAGCACCAACCAAGTCGACAGCCGGCACGTCGCGGTCAGGGAAAAATGGCTCAGAAGATTCTGGGCAAACCTGGCAAGATTGACATCGACTGGAGCGACAGGCAGGACCACAGTGGCACAGCTAGGCTCTTCGAACGTCAACATCCTCTCGCCACAATGCCAGTCGCCGCAGGTTCCAACCCAAAGGGTTGTTACCGATTTCACTGCCTGTTGGAAGTGTCACTTGCATCCGGGTGCTTGCGACAAAAGTTAGCAAGCATGGCCGGGTACCCTCAAAGGATGCTTGCACTTGAGGGCTGCCAGCTACTTGCTCTAGCATGAGCGGGCATCCGGTGTCCAGGGACACGATGTGGGACCCCTGTTTTTGCAGAGGAGGTTAGTTCAGGCAGAGAGGTACAGGGAAGCAGACCGAATTATGCTTTCTGACTGCCTACTGTCTGCAGATTGTGGTCGATTGCCGCGGCCACTTGCTGGGTCGCCTTGCATCTGTCCTGGCGAAGGAGTCCTTAATACGTGTGCAAGTTTGCTGTTTGCTGGTCTCAGACTCGTTTGCATCGCTACACTGCGATTGCCATCGCTACGGTCTGTTTAGCTTGACTCAGTTCTGCCATCCAGGAGCTCTTGAATGGGCAGCACGTTGTCTGCGTGTATCTCGGCCGCACTTCAAAACTGGGAGATCATAGGGTGACTGGGGTTTCGAGTTTCATGGGAGAGGGTGTCGACGTCTTGCGGAGGCGCTCAGAGGACATCAACATCTCCGGATCCCTTTACCGCAACAAGCTGAAGTATGCAACTCTGCAGCAACCGTGCGAGCTGTGCAATCGATTGAGAAGCTTTTCAGGCACAGAGGTGCCAGGGTTTCGCGCGATCACCACAGTGTCACCACTAGCATGACCAGCACCTACTGTAACGCTTAGCTGATGGCATGACCTAGTTGTGCAGGCTCGCCGGGGGTTCTGACGATAGGGATTCAGAGGCATGTCGGAGCACTGCCGTCCCCACGTAAGTGCAAGAACCTTGGCGGGGCGGGCGTGAGAGGGGGAATGTGAGTAGTGGCGGTCAGAGGGGCAAGCCGAGCAGTGCGGGTGAGGCACATGCGCAGAAAAAGAGGTGATTTAGGGCTAGCAGCGCGTCCGAATCATCACACAGACAGCACCGAACTAATGAAGAGCTGCGAGGCCGCCTTCAAGAGGAAGCACATGAACTCCAATCCACGACAAGGACCTTTTCATTATCGGGCACCATCAAAGATCCTTTGGCGCGGCCCGCCTGCATCTTTTGTGTGCTTGAGCTTTCGTCATGTGTCTCTCTATGGTCGCATATTGCGAAGTGATCTAAGCCCATATTCGTATCAAGCCGCAAGAACAACACGCCTACTGCAGGCACCATCCGGGGCATGGTTCCCCACAAGACCGCTCGAGGAGCTGCCGCATTGGATCGCGACTTCGCAGAGTTTCAGATACGAGCGCGGTTTCGGTTTTCGTCTTCTGGACCCGAGGTCGTACGGTCAACCCGCACATAGTTAAGTTATACAGAATATCATTGTCAAGGTCTCAGGAAGAGGATGTGGTGCAAGTGAGACTAAATCGTTGGCATGCCAGCATGAGCAAAGACTCAGTGCAGATGCACGCTCTTTCTGGCTCAGGCTTGAAGACATTCGAGGGCATTCCTCACCCCTATGCTGCTGGGATCGCAGGTGTTGCAATTGAGCCACCGGAAACCGTCTGCATGGCCGACAGTTTTCCTAGAGCCATATTTGTTTTAGCAAGCACATTATCTAGGTCTTGGTTGCAGCAGCCTTCCACAGCCGACCGTAAGCATGTTTAATGCAGAGCCAGCTCCGCGATCCCAGGACCGCAAGAAGCGCATGGTTCTGCGAAGTGCTCGGTTTTCATCTGCCAGCATTGGAGGATATGCATAACCACCTACGAGCGTGCGGTGCACCACAGCTGCCACTACTTCCTGTTGCACTGCTGTTGCAAGGCCGGTGCCACTACAGCTGCCATTGCACCACCGCTGCCAATGCCACTGCCACCACTGCCTTTGTGCTACCACTGCCACCACTAGTCAGCACCACCTCGTCAACGACGACGACGACGACGACGACGACTGCGACCGCCGCGACCACAACAACGCCGACACACCATCGTCTGCAGCACAACAGCAACAACCGAATGCCGCCAACGTGCCATCACCTCCTGCTGCTGCTGCTGCTGCTGCTGCTGCTGCTACTTCTACGACGACGAAGACTACTGCTAGCACCACTGCCACAGCTGCTGCCACCGCCACCGCCACCGCCACTGCCACCACAACCACCAGCACCACCACAACAGCAACAGCAACAGCAACGACGCCAACAACAACAACTAACTACAACTACAAGTACTGTACAAGTACAAGTACCAGTACAAGTACAGATACAACTACAACTGCACCTACGACTACAACTACAACTACAACTGCAGCGACAACTGCAACTGCAACTACAACTACAACTACTACAACTACTACAACTACTACAACAACTACTACATCTCTTAAACTACGACGACGACGGCTTTCAATACGACTAGTGACAGGAATGGCGTGAACTACACCAGCAACACAACAGACACAGCGCCACAGCAGTTTTACAGAGCCATGTCCATCTTCTCCAGTTTCTGCCTTCTTTGAGGCCCAGTTGCCTCAAAGTTCTCCGCCTCCGCCCTGAGCGCCGATTCTGCCGCCTCGGCGACCTCTCGAAGGAGGTACGCATAGATTCACACATGATGCCGTGTATGGAGGACTATGAAGTGGAGTCGAGTTAAGTGGCGTATGCAACTGGTCGCGACAGGAACCGAAACCGCCAAAACCTGAACCGACACCAAAAGAGCAGACACAAGTTACCAAACAAAGATAAGCCGGATGTCCCAGTCTCAGTCTCGGTTGAATGTAAACATGGTTGGGTTCTGCGTTGTCGGAGTTCTTGTTTTTGTAGTCTGCTCGTGTGCTAGCTGGCCAGGATCTCAAGGTCATCCGGAGTTAATTGGGCTAAACTTCGTCCAGCCATCACCCACGCAATATCTTTCCTTCTGAAAGTTTGCATTTTTCTGAGTGTATCCTGCATGTTGTGCCAGAATGGGTAAGATCTTTTTACTAGGGCTGTTGAGGCGCTCGATACGCTGTCCCGAACCTTTGTAGTTGGTTGCGATTCTTCCTGCTTCGTGCTTTAGGTTTGCAGCTGAAAAGTCTTAGTCATGTCTTGCACAAGCAAAAGTGAGTTGTGAAGTGCTTGCGAGCGTTAAGGCGATTACTGTGCAAGCAAGACAGCCCGAAATACCGAATACTTTGCTGCTTGCAGAATTGGAGTAGCGTACATCAGTTCTTGCTGCCGTTTGTCATTCGTTGTCTGGTACGAGTAGGACCCACCAGCAGGGGTTACCGCGGTCCCCAACCTTTCCCTGCCACATCACCGCGTGAGAAACTACATCCTGCATGTGCAGCACTTGTGTTGCACAACATGGTTGTTGGTTCTGGCTGCCAGATGCTGCCAGCACACGAAAACGCTAGATTCATGCATCCTTGCATGTATCTACATGCAAACAAGTCAATGCTAATACTGTTCAGGTCGGATGGAAGCACGGCGCTCTCATCGAGCGCTTGGAGAGCCAGCGCAAAGTGAAGAGCGAGGCGTTCCACAAGAAAAAGGCGCTCCGTTTGACCCTTCAAGGGGTGAGGGTTCGGGGTTTGGCAGCAGGGCAGATTTGAGCAGATCGCATGCGAGAGGGAAAAGAAGTTGTTGAATGGGTTGCAGGGGCCCCATGGGGCACGTGATGCAACCCGGTAAAGTACCGGGTCAGCCTTTGTGCCAACATGTCTGGGCAGGTGGCCGCAAAGCGAGCGCGCTCGGAAGCCCCGGTCTCAGCTGCGATCTTCGTACCTATCTTCTTAAGCTGTAGGATTCGATTGGGACATTTCTGGGTTGCTCCGTCACCAAGGCCCTGAAGGGGGTGAAGCTGTCGGCCGAGGACCAGAAGGCACTTGAAGAAGCGGGCTATGCGTAAGGTGGACGCGAGAACATATCGACGGGCGCGCAGCATGAGGAGGCGGAAAAAGCAAGCGACTGTGCTCCGCTGCGGTTGGACGTGCTTAGCATAGCCGGTGAAGGAGGTCTTACAGGGCTGTATGAGTCTTTCCCTTCTGATTGTAGCGCTCTTTAACATCAGCGTTGGAGCAGTGGGTCTTGCCAGCGCTGCGGAAGTTCGGCCGGCTTGGCACACATGCTGAAAACACGGCTCACGGCGGTTCCCAGCAGCCGTAGTATCTCTCCTACTGGATCTGTGTAGCTCAGCCAGCGGGCGGGGTGACTGCGTGAGGAGATATCGCCGGCCGGGCCGGCCCCGAAGCAGAAGTGACTTGGTCCGCTAGGTGCGGATGATGGGAATCAGGCCTCCTCTGGAATTCGAATTGCTTTCATTGAGGGTGCATATTATGACCACTACTGGCCTCTGGCCTCCCCAGTCTCCAGTCATGTGGCGTAGATGCGACGAATCCTGGGATCTGAGGGCCAAAGCTACAGCCAAAGCCAAGCCGGTGCCTGGCTGAGAGAGCCGGCGATGTGACCAGAAAGAATAAGCTGAAGAGTCGAAGAGCCGGTTGTGTTATCCGACGCCCGGTGCACAAGGTGCCAGAACCAAAGAAGGCACGACTGCTCAAATGGGATTACACCAGCTGCTGTGAGAGAGTCTAGTGGGGCTAGCGGCTGGCCACAGACAGGCAGTGGACACGATGCCTTTTAGGGGCATCTGCTTGTTCAGAAGTGCTATGGCTACACTTCATGGTGACACTGAAGCTCCCGGTGGCCTCAGGGAGCTTCATATGGTTCGTAAATTGCGGAATGCGTTATCCTTTCTGTATGTAGAGGCGCATGTCTGCAGTCGGTGTTCTATTGAAATTCCACAAGTCTCTGTTTCCTGCAGAAGGCAGACGCATGCAGAGCGGGCAAACCCGGTATCCTGCCCTCCAGCCATGCCATGCCAGGATCAGCAGGCGCCCAAGGCCAAAGAGGAGCCCTAGGCCCAGTCTGTGGGAGTCCGGGGCTGTTGCGAGACCCCACATGCCAAGGAAGAAGAAGGCCGACACGAAGCCAAAGGACGAGGAGGAGGAGACGAAGGCTCAGAAGGAGCCGAAGCCTGGCAAAGCGAAGGAACAGAAGCCGGCAGCTCCCAAGGAGCAGGACAAAGCGCCGGAGAAGCAGGGGAAGAATCAGAAAGAGTCGAAGCAACAAGACCCGAAGCAGGATCAGAAACAGCAAGACCCGAAGCAGCAAGGCAAGAAGCCACAGGACCAGAAGGCGAGTGAGACGGAGAAGGCCCAGAAGGAAACAGCCGCAGGAACGCACAAATCCAAGTCGGAGACCTCGCAGCCTCCGAAGGCCACAGCCACAGCAAACACCAAGCCGGCCCAGCCCGCCGCGCCCGCCGCGCCCACCCAACAGCAAGGGCAGATTCCGGATGCCGCGCCCGAGCCCGCTTTCCTTGTGGATCCGCGGCCGTCGAAGAAGCGCAAGGAACCTGAGAGGGGCACTCAGAGTAAGGAGTGGGCGGACTTCCTCATGCTCCCCGCGAGTAACAACAGCTTGCGGGCGGCAGAAAGCCTTGTGCCCACTCCAGCCATCGCCACCACCGCCTTGCCGACGCAGAAGCCGGAGCTGTTTTCGGAGGCCACCCTGCCTCCCCCAGCTTCGGAGGTGGCAGCCAGGACTCTGGAAGAGCTGGAAAGGAAGAGCGCGCACCTCAAGGAGTTGCTGACAGCCGGCCGGACGCGGCCTCAGGTACTTTGCTCACCGGGCGGTTGAGGATCCTACCTTTTCTTATAGAGTCTCGAATAGAGTCTCGAAGTTAGTAGTTAGTGGGGCGCTTTCTTGTCTCAAACTCCCCAAGGCTGCATGGAAAAGTATCATAGAGCCTGAGAGTGTGTTCATGCCACTCCGAGGGACCCGGACATACTGGCAGCGAGGGTGGATCTGCAAGCCGAAAGCAACTCGCCGCTCGTCGACACTCAGGGGCATTGTGCAGCCTGCACTTTGCGTGTGACGCGCTCATGCAAAATGTGCACAAGCGACAAAGAGAGCACGATGGCATCAACAGGAGCATCTGCTTGTGTAAGGTCTTCTTCCAAAGCAAAGCAGAAGCGAGAGAAGCAGCTCAGCTTGCCAATCTTGCGATCGAAGAGAGCTGGGTAGAACTCCGTTGGGTTTCACAGTTGCTGCAGCATGTGGTCTGAACCTGCGTTTTGCGGCCTTGGCGGCGATATGAGCCTCTGCAGGCAGAAGCAGAAACAGTTGGCCAAAGACGTGCCAGACATCCGAGTACAGGAGATTGCGCATTACTCCGAACCCCACACCTCAAATCCCGAAGAGTACCATGCAAAAACGAAAAACTCGACAGCAGTGCGCAGTCAGTCAGGCACGCGGACAACAAAATAGGAGCCCAGCTTCAGATGGCAAGACATCCCTCGTGCGCAGGATCTCGAACCTGCCTCTCAGCAACCGCCCTGGCTGTGGGATATGCGAAGAAGCCTTAATTAGTGAGGAAGCAACCTGCAATCTTGTGCAAGGCCAGCAGGCGTCTCCCAGTCGGACACATCGGAGAAGTCCATGCGCACCTCCTGCAACACTTGTTCACAAGATCCTTTCGTTTAAATCTAGGCATTCGTGCACTACCAGACCTACTGGCTCACCAGCGATGCCAGGACAGTTCTTCCCTCGTGGATCTGGATCTCGAGTCGATCGTCACCTGGTAGCAAGCATCAGACGTGAAGCGGCATGTTTGCTTTCCCCCCCCCCTTCCGCAAGCCTGTCCAAGGATTGAAGTGCGAGCCTGTGACTTCCTCGCGCGCAGCAGCCTCGGACAGCTGCTATGTGGGTCTGCGGGCTCTGCCTGGTTGGCAAACCTCAGCTGTGGAGGAGTTGCTGTATGTAGTGGATCAGTAGAGTGAAGTTTGACCTCACCTTGAGCTGCACGGTGCACCAGCCTTATGACCTGCATCTCTTGGCAGATGCGCGTGGACTCACCCCACCCGCGAAAAGACGGACTCCTGCTCGAGGACAGGCTCCATCAGAACACCTTGTTGGGTAGGAGTCTTTGTCCCTTCGGCCAATCAGTCAGTTCTTTGGCCCGTCGACTCACTCGAAGCACGCACTGCTTAGAGTTCCTCCGACACGGCTTTTGCAGCTTTAGCAGCCTGTAGGGTTCAGGCCTAATCTGGGCCGTAGAAGGTAACTTGAGCCGTTCCATAAGCCAGGAGGCCCAGCCACCAAAGAAACAAGCAGTCTCTTCAATGCTCTGCCTTGCTACTTGCAGCTACCTTCACAACTACCGACAAAAGGGAGTATGATTGTGGCTGGCGGGGGCAGGTACTGTCATGCCTGGATTTGTTTCTGCAGCTTGTCTTGCCTTTCTATCGTACCGGCTTTCCTGTACCACGCCTCTTCATATCAGTTTTGACAGTTGCCGGTTCTCCACTGCGTCCTGTTCCTGCCGCTCTTTAGCATGTGCCGAAAGATTCCGAAAGGAGCGCGCTCGTTGCGAAGGTGTGAATCTGAAAATCGTGCCGAGTTCGGCCAATGAATAGCTTTCGAAATTTCGTCTCGCAGAAAAAACATGGCCCGGGGGGCCCCAAGCCTCACGGATTGTGGAGGCACAGTGTCTCAGACTCAGTGTCTGTTTCTTCTGAAGAAGTGCGGCCGCCGCAAATCACCAGCCTTGCGCATTCAACGAGAGCTGCGGCATGCACAGCCGCCCATCCTTGCAGGACTGGGATGACGAGGCTATGGACACTCATCGTCGAATCACGTGGGAAAGCACCCTGCCTTTGCGCAGGGTGATGACGACGAGGAGTCTTCAACCCGGATTGCAAGTTTCATGTGTTCTTGCTTGTGAGCCCCCAGAGGGCAGCCAGTCCGGTGCTAACTTACAGGGTTTGCAGGTGTAAACAATATTTTAAGCTTTCAGCCCTCGCTTGAAGCATCACCTGCGACCGAGGGGTTTCGAGTCGGAGGATGATCGCAAGGCTCGGCAAATACAGGAAGTGTCTTTTGCTTACCTGGTGTCGGTGGAGTCTTCTGCTTCCGTGCAGCCGCGCACTTTCAATAGCTACAAGGGATTGGGATAGGACAAGAAGAGGAAGTTGGAACACGGTTCAGGAGCAGCTCGGAGTGACTGTTGAAATCTTCGCGTTCCTCGAGAGTTTCGAGTTGAACACTTATTTGTCCAGCTTGCAAAGGCCGTGGAGGGTGAAGACGTCGAAGAGAAGCGGCGTTTGCTCCGAGAGAGGCATTTAGTGCATGTTTACAGGTGCCTTTCAGTCTTTCAGTTTTTGTGTCCAACAAGGTGTCGTGGTTCTTGCTTAAGCTGTTGTTGTTGCCGTTGCACTCGGGGCATTGGCGCTGAGTTGCTGTTGGTTGGTTTAAATTCACGGGAAAATTGCAGGGACGAGCAGGACGGTGCCTGAGTGACAGCGCGTGGTGCTTTTGTGTTACTTACTGTACTTGTCTGGTAAGGGCAATGTGTTTGAAGCTTTTTCGCATGATTTCACCATGGCAAAGTGCTTCATGCGAGGGAACCTGAACGTCCAACAGACTCACACGGCGCCAATACATCACGGTTTTTGAGTTGCCCTGTGGCTTTGGTTGTCGAGACTTTGTACGGGTGATGCTACAGCGGAAGGAGAAGAAGAATAAGAACAATAATAATAAGAAGAAGAATAAGAAGACGTATTGGTAGTAGTAGTCGTCGTCGTCGTCGTCGTCATCGTCGTGGTAGTGGTAGTGGTGGTGGCAGTGGCAGTGGTAGTGGTAGTAGTAGTGGTAGTAGAAGTGGTGGTGGTAGTAGCAGTAGTGCATAGTCGTAGTAGTACAACTACTACAATAAAACAGTAGGGATATGCCCACGGTATCCTGTGGTGTAGACGGTTACATGATACATGGCATCCTGAGATGCCCCTTCCTCTGAGACTCTTTTCATGTCAGGTCGGCCCAAATAGTGGGCCGAAAGAGGAGGAA